TTCCTCAGCACCACATAAGCAAAAAGAAAAAAGCCGGAAGTGGCACTGTGGCTCAAGTGGTAGGGCACTAGCCTTGAGCTGAAGAGCTGAGGGACTGTGCTCAGGCCCAGAGCTCAAGTCCCACAACCGGACCCCCCAAAAAAAGAAAGAAAGAAAGAAAATAATCTCCTGAGCTAGGCAAATGCCCGAGCTTGTGGACAGGTAGGCTTGGAAGATGCTTCTAGGCCCTATCTTTGAAATCCTCTATGGGGCAGCCATGCTTCCATAGTGGGTAGGGCCACAATCATGGAGAGCCTAGAATGGTTGCCTGAGAGGGTGAGCAAGGGGCAAAATCCTGGTTCAGCAGCTTATTCCATACTCTGAAGGCTGGTCTTGTTGCTAGAGAGGGCCCCATTAATAAAGGGAATGTGGCTCAGTTGACACTCTCCCACCCCCAAATCCTGGATGCACACGCTGCTAGGTAGATCCAGTCTCATTTATTTGGCAGCATAGTCGAAGAAGGAATGACTTCTCCCAAGTCGGTTACCTCCTGATTAACTCTGTTTTCCTTTCTGAGAAATGGTGACACTTCTCCCTTTGGGCCACGAGCAAGGGGTGAATGCATTAATACTAATCATGCCCTTACTGCTCCACACCCACCCCTGGAATATTGATGAGGGAAGATGATAGGGAGGAGGTTCTGGGTAACCTTGGCTGTCTGTGGTTGCCCTATGTGTAGGCTTTGAGCTGCTGTATCAACCTGAAGTGGTACGTCTCTATCTCTCCCTCCTCACCGAGAGCCGGAACTTCAACACTCTGGAGGCTGCAGCAGGTGCCCTGCAAAACCTCAGCGCAGGCAACTGGATGGTGAGGGGCCAGACCTGGCAGGAAGGAAAGATCTAGACAAAGAGGGAAATCCAGGCTTCCCCATTAGTGCTGCTCCTCACATCTGGGTTGGCCAGAAAAGGAGGAGGACGTTGCACTTCCCCAAGGTTTGGGAGGTTCAGGGTACATGGTCTAAAAGCATTATGCCCTGGGCAGTGGAACTAGCTTTGAGCTGCTGGGGTTGGGCCTTGTGCAGCCGGACTTCCCTCTGAGTAGCCCACCTCCTACTTCCACTCCCACAGTGGGCCACATACATCCGTGCCACTGTGCGTAAGGAGCGCGGGTTGCCGGTACTGGTAGAACTGCTGCAATCGGAGACTGATAAGGTGGTGCGAGCAGTTGCCATCGCCTTGCGAAACCTATCTCTGGACCACCGCAACAAAGACCTTATTGGTGAGGATGTTGGGCGGGGCCAAACCTGGGAGTGCAACAGTTGGGGACCCATCCCTGGGTCTTAGGCTAGTCCCAGCTTGGGGAACTGACTTCTAGGACCAATCCTGAAGTCTTAGTCTCATGCTCCTCCTGAACCCTGCTCCTTCCCACAGGGGCGGGGCAGAGGTGTGTCCTGACCCCTGCCCCTGCCTCTCAGGGAACTATGCCATGGCCGAGCTGGTGCGGAATGTTCGCAATGCACAGGCACCTGCCCGCCCCGGGGCTCGCTTGGAGGAGGACACGGTGGTGGCTGTGCTCAACACCATCCATGAGATCGTGTCTGATAGCCTGGACAATGCACGCTCACTCCTGCAGGCCCGTGGTGTGCCAGCGCTGGTGGCGCTCGTCGCCTCCAGGTGGGCGGGGGCCTGGGAAGGGGGTGGGGTGGGGGGGCGGGGAAAGAGCTGGCCGCTGACCCCGCCCTTGGTCCTTTCATAGCCAGTCTGTGCGTGAGGCAAAGGCGGCATCCCACGTGCTTCAAACGGTGTGGAGCTACAAGGAGTTGCGAGGAGCCTTGCAGAGGGACGGCTGGACGAAGGCGCGCTTCCAGGTGCGGCCTGCAGGGGCCTGTCCTGTTTCAGTTTACCAGGTGTAGTCCCTAAGCAAAAGTGCCTCTGACCTCTCCCACCTGTGTTTTGTGCGCCCCAGTCAGCTGCTGCCACTGCCAAGAGTCCCAAGGGAACGTTGAGCCCTGGGGGCTTCGATGACAGCACACTGCCACTGGTAGACAAGAGCCTGGGTGAGTACAAGCCAGGAAGGAGGGAATATGGGAGCCCATTCCTGAGGCTGGAGGAGCTCCCACCTGCAGTGATGGTAACAAGGCCGGTGAAGGCCAGGGAAGGAAGGCGTGCCTTTTCCTGTTTATGTCATCTGCTGGGGTGTGTGGAGGAGGTGCCTGCAGATAAGGAAGAAAGGTAGAGAAATGCCAAGACATTAGTGATAGGACACCTAAGGTTGCTGAGGTCTGCCTGGTGCTGGGCTTGTCTGTGACCCTGGCCCCCAGCCTGTCTACCGCTCACAACCAGAGCCCCTGCCCTGCCTTGCAGATGGTGAGAAGCCAGGCAGCCGAGATGTGATCCCCATGGACACACTTGGCCCAGGTGAGGTCAAGCATGGTTTGATTGTTGTCTACTCAGGGAGAAGGGAGGAGCCTGAGCCAGGACTGTTGGTTTTATGGGGTAAGCATGGTCGGTGCTGAGATGCTTTCCAAAAAGGTGTTATTTGGTAAGATTTCATTTGGGGATGCTCAGCAGATATGAAGCAGAAATGGTGAGGGGGCACGGGACAGGATCAGAGTGGGTGGGGATCCTCTGTAAAAACCCCTTATTTCAAGGGTCCCCTGTGTCTGAGATGAAGGTTGCATGGTCCTTCAGTGCCTACCTCTCAGAACTTGCCTCATGCTCCCCCCCTACGCTGCCCACAGATGGATACTCCACTGGATATTCTACTGTGGACCGGAGGGAACGGAAGGCCCTGGGCAGTGACTCTGCAGGTGAAGCCTCTGAAAAGGAACCTTTGAAAGTAAGTGGCCATGGGTACTTACCAAGGACGCTCCATGTACAAGGCTTGCCCAGAGGGTAGCTAGGCAATGCAAAGCTTGACTTGGGACCTGAAGCCTGGCGGGGCTGGTGCTCATCTCCAAGTAGCTGGGCTGTGGGTCCAAGTCTAAGCAGTATCCCTTCATCAGTCAGATGGTGGATGCTGTTGGGTAGAGAGAGCTCACACCTGGTGGGAGGGAGGGGCAGAGGACAGTCTGCCCAGCCACACCCTGCACTGGACTGAAGAGTCTAAGAAAGTGGTTTATGCACCTTTCTCTGCATGTGTGTGTGTGAGGGGGGGGGGCAGGTGCCTGTCATGGTCCCTGGTGGGAACAGCACCTGCCACTTGCTCTACACCAATCCCATAGACTCATGCACAGACCTCTGTGTGTGTCCCTGTACCACCCAACACTTGTGTGAGCCATACTGGCTTGACTCCCTTGTGCTGCTGTGACCCTGGCCTACCACCCTGGCCCTGTTCCTACTGACAATTCAGCTTTGCCCTTCAGCTGCAGCTAACATGCTTTCTTTTGCCTTTAACATCTTCTGTCTACCCATCCACCCACTTGTGCACTACAGCCCGATCCTGGCAGGAAGGCCCTTCCTCCTGGGCCCAGCAGGCCCTCAGTCAGGCTGGTGGACGCCGTAGGGGATGCTAAGCCTCAGCCCGTTGACTCCTGGGTCTAGCTTGCATGCCGGGTACGTTCTCTTGTCTGGTTGTTGTCCAGTGATTTTGCCATCCTTTGGGCCAGGGCTTTATGTTGATCTCTGCCAACTGCATGCTCTGTCCTCCTTGTATATATCCTAGCAGGACCAAAATGCCCAGCTTAGGGAAGGCCAGACTGAGGGCTGAGCAGAGGGGTCCTCCCAGGGTCCACTATGATGAGTCCAGGGAGGGCTGGGTCCTCCATACCTTCAAATACCCCTGCATAGGCCCCATAGGACCAGTAAGTCAGAAATAAGTGGTCCCTACTATGACCCTTAGCAGCTGCTTTTGTCCACATAGCTGTCCATGGAGCCCGTGGAGGCAGCAGCTCTGCCAAGATATTGCATGTCACTCTGCCCCATGCATTTAGCCCTGCCACCTGCTTGTGTGCTTCTATAGCATTGCCTTATTCCTCCCTTTGCAGGGCCCCAGCCCAGCCATTTCTTAGAGATTGGATCACCTGGAGAAAGGCCCATTCTGAAGTCTGCTGTGGAGCCTCCTGGTGGCAGTTGCTGGCCAAGCTTCTTGCCAGGACCTGACTTGCTGGCACCCCTTCTGTCTTGCCCTGCCGGTTGCTCCCTCTGATCTCCTGATCAAATTCCCTAGGCCTGAGTTAGCTGTTTACTGACATGGTGCTGTGTGTGAGTGTGAAAGAAAAGGCCAAGATGGGGCCCAGGAAGGTAGCAAGGGAGGGCACCTGGCTTTGCTCTGGTGGAATAAAGACTGTGTTCCAGAGAAACAGGTCTGGGGAGTGGGGGTCCTGGGGACAGGCAGCTGGGAAAGGAGGAAGGGTCTCAGGAAAGGAAGTTGGACTCCAAAGGGTGGAGGGACTTCCTTTTGTTCGAGGCTGCAAAGTGGGGATCCTGCACTGGATGTCCGGAACCCTCATGCAATGAGATCCTTCCTCAAGTTGCCTCTGGCAGGGGGGGTCACTGTGATGGCTGCACCTGCATCTGCCCAGAACCTCACTGTAATCTCCAGACTGACCCCCAGCAGCACAGGGAACTGCTGTCCAGTGCCTGCTGTTCAGAAAACCACTGAAAAAAAAAAAAAAAAAGCATTAAAAATGGAACCAAAATAAGACTATTGGTAGACATCTAAATTTTTTAAAGAAACTTTAAAAATTAAAAAAAAAAGCAACAAAGAAATTTGTCTTCCATGGCGCAGACTCTGTGTCTCATTGGCTGGCTGGCCCTTCCCTTAGTGTGGAGAGTGGAGGCCATCATTCTACTGGGTGAGGAATGGGCCCCCATCGATCGTTGGGCATAGTGCTGTTGGCGGAGGCACTGCTGCCACCTGATGATCACATAACTTGAGGACAACCTGACTGTAAAGGCCAGCAGTTCCTCAGAATCCCTCCCTCCCGGGGGGTGGCTGAGAGTGACCTGCATTATCTGTGTGCATACATCTATGTGCATGGCTCATGGCTGATCTACTCTGTCCTCACAAGATCTGGTTGGCTTCCGGTGATAGGCTGGCCTGGAGCCTGGGAGCAGAGTTCTGGCCAGAGCTCACTGGGCATGAGTGGAATCTACTAGGACAAGTTGATCTTTGTGTCTGGTCTTGGTGGAGCCTCCTGGAACCTCTCTGGTAGATAGCAATCTGGCTGCTTGAAGGTGCCAGGGCAGCTCTGGATTTAGGCAGACACAAAGCAGCTTGGCTTGCTTACAAGCAGCTAGGCAACCAGCAGCAATGCCCTGGCTGTTCCAAGCCATTTTCTCCCCATAAATTTGGCCAAATGGGATTAGGGAAGGAGATATTTCCAACTAGTACCAATGTGGGTCCAGAAAGGCAGGGCTCTGAATGGCCCTGTGTCCACTATCTCCAGTTCTGTGCTACTTTTCCAGGCAGGCTAACAGGTATCCCTGGCCTGGCCTGGCCTGAAGGAGAAGTATTGAGCAGAGATGGATCCCACCCCACTGCCTTAGCCAGGAGCCCTGAGGTTGGTGCGATATTCAGGACCCAGCCCTACAGCACTAGTGCCCATCCAGAAAAGGTGAAGCTGAGAGGAACCACTCCGTTGAGCTCTTATATCCAAATATGGATCTTTAATTCTATTGGCTTTTAAACATGAATTTAGTATATAAGACTACAGTCATCTAACATTAGCGATGAGGTTACAGTTCATTCTTAAAAAAGGTGAATACTTGCAAGTCAAAAGTACAGGGTGAGGTGGTGGTGGTAATGTCACTAAGGTGCTGCTGCCCCCTGGTGACAGAAAGCCTAAGAACAGTCAGTGCAAAGCCCAATAGATTCCTGATTTTTCCAACTTCTGCTTTCAGGGCCTAATAAGTAAGTTGGTGCCTGATAACCTGTCCTTGGAAACCTGATTGGAATTCATATTACATTTTCCAGTTTGGTCTTTGTTTTTCTTTTTTGTTTTTCAGTTCTGGGGATTGAATTGGGCCTCTTATATGCTAGGAGTTTGTGCTTCCTGAGCTACACTCCCAGCCCCTCTGTCAGCAGGATTTTCCAGGTTTTCTGCAGTGGCTTTGCATAGTAAGCTCATTATTCTTTAGAGTGTGTACTATGTGATAATCTGCACCAGCAGCACAGAGGTCAGTGTGGACAAATCCCAGGTTCATAGGCCTGAAGTAGACACTGCATGGGGACAGACCCTAGAACCACAGAAGTGGAGTTATCCAGAGTGAGAGTGTCCATCTTGCCCTTCAGAAAGAGGCTGGGTAAGGCGCCTAGTGCAAGGTAGCAGTCAAGCTTGCATCTTGCCCTTGTAAATGGCCTTCTCCAGGCCATCCACCACATTCGTGTACTCTAGGTATGAGCTGTAGTGTGTGCACTCAAAGCTGTTGTTCTTCCGCACATATGCCAGGAATTCTGGTGATCCTGGAATGATGACGTTATCAGCCAGAAGCACTGTCCCCTTCCTCAGTAGGCCACATTCCTGCAGGGGACAGATGGGTCAGTGGTTAGGAGTGCATGGCAAAACCACTCTGAACCAGGCACGCCTCACTCCCTCTCACCCCCCAAGGCTGCTGTTTGATGTACTGGCTTATGCTCAACCCTGAGGTCCAAGTCTAACACCTCATTTATTTCAAAGTGGCCACTGCAGAAAAGGGCTGTGCCAGTCCTACCTCAGGCACATCAGCTAAAGATGGAGATCTTTTGCTCCTCCATTCACCACTTGTGGCACTAGAGATCAAACCCAGGGGTGTGTATGGGGGGATTGGGGGAGTTGAACTCAAGAGCCTAGGTGCTGTCCCTTAGTTTTTTGCTCAAAGTTAACACTCTACCGCTTGAGCCATAGCACTACTTCTAACTTTTGGATAGTTAAAGTTAAGAGTTTCACAGACTTCCCTCCCTGGACTTACTTCAAGTTGCAATCTTCAGATCTCAGCCTCCTGAATAGCTAGTATTACAGCTATGAGCCACCAGTGCCCAGCTAGAACCTAGAGTCTTGTACGAACTGGGCAACCACTTGAGCCACTTCCCCAACCATCCTTTACTCCTGTATCCATCTCCAGCCCTCTAGAACACTGAAGGTAGTCAATAGATGCTTTAAGGATGGTGAGTGGTGAATATGGTGAGCTAAGAGGCCAGTGCATCCTCAGATACCTGATGCCAGAAAAATAGGCATCTATAAGGGAGAGGTGTCCAGGGACATGGGCTGGTATGGTCACTACAGACTAGATCCAGCTTCACCATGGTGACTTTACAGGGATGGGGGCACAGACTACCTCTCTACAGACAAGCTGCTCCTTGGAGGTCTGCTCTGAGTATCCCATAGCACCTATCTCCACTGGTGCCTGGGCTGGGGGAAGGGTGCAGTTCTGGTGCCCAGTCTCTGCACAGGGGAAATGAGCCATTACAGGTAGTGGCTCCAGTTGCCAGGTGAGAAACTTGATCGTAGGATGCTTGTCCATCTAAGGTGAGAAGTGTATCTGCTGACATCACGTGAAAGAATAAAGGAGTTTTGACTTTGGAAATCTAGAGGATCTTTTTGTTTGTGTGCTGGTCCTGGGGCTTGAACCCGAGGCCTGGGCACTTTTGTGCTGAAGGCTAGTACTTTGCCACTTGAGCTACAGCTCCACTTAGTGTTTTAGTGGTTAACTGGAAATAAGAGTCTTACATACTTTCCAACCCAGGCTAGCTTTAAAACATGATCCTCAGAATTACAGGTGTGAGCCACCAGCACCCGGCTAGGAGTTTTTTTGTTTGTTTGTTTGTTTGTTTTGTTGGTCATGGGGCTTGAATCTGGGCCTGGGTGTTGTCCTTTAGTTCTTTAGCTCAAGGCGAGTGCTCTACCACTTGAGCCACAGCTCTACTTTGCAGTTTTCTGTGGTTTATTAGAGATAAGAGTCTCACGGACTTCCCTGCCCAGGCTGGCTTTGAACTGCAATCCTCAGATCTCAGCCTCCTGAGTAGCTATGATTACAGGCATGAGCCACCGGCACCCAGTGATTTTTTTTTTAACATAGCCATAAAACAAATTTTTTTAAAAAAGAAATCTCGCTGGGCACCAGTGGCTCATGCCTATAATCCTAGCTACTCAGGAGGCGGAGATCTTGAGGGTCACAGTTTGAAGCCAGCTCAGATAGGAAAGTCTGTGAGACTCTTACCTTCAATTAACCACCAGAAAACCAGAACTGGAGCTGTGGCTCAAAATGGTAGAGCACTAGCCTTAAGCAAAAGAGCTCAGGGACAGTGCCCAGGCCCTGAGTTTAAGTACCATGACTGACAAAAAAAAAGAAGAAAGAATTTCAATATCTAAGTTGTGAAGCACTTGCCTAGCAGGTATGAGGCCTAGATTTCATTTCCAGCACGTGTGCATGCACACACATACACACACAAAGCCTAAAACACAAACTTAACCTGGTATAGCAGCATACTAAGGAGAATCAAAAGGAAGGTTCCAGATGAGCACCAGTGCCTTGTGCCTATAATCCTACTAGCTACTCAGGAGGCTGAGTTCTAAGAATTGAGGTTCAAAGCCAGCCCATGCAGTAAAGTCTGTTAGCTTCTTATGTATAATTAACCACCAAAAAATCAGAGGTAAAGGGTCTGGGAAGCGGCTCAGTGGTGGAGGGCTTGCCTTTATGCATGAGGCCCTGGGTTCAATTCCTCAGTACCACATAAGCAGAAATAGCTGGAAGTGGCACTGTGGCTCAAGTGGTAGAGCGCTCGCCTTGAGCTGAAGAGCTGAGGCACAGTGCCCAGGCCCAGAGTTCAGGCCCCATGACTAACAAAAATAAATAAATAATAAATAAAATAAATTGTTAAAATTTTTTTTTTAAAAAATCAGAGGTAAAGCTATGGTTCAAATGGTAAAGTACTGGCACAAAAAGAAAAAGGGCTGGGTGCTGGTGCCTGTAATCCTAGCTACTCAGGAGGCTGAGATCTGAGGACTGAAGTTCAAAGCCAGCTTGGCCAGGAAAGTCTGTGAAACTCATCTCCAATAAACTACCAGAAAACTGGAAGTGGTTCTGTGGCTCAAGTGGTAGAGTGCTTGCCTTGAGCTGAAGAGCTGAGGGACAGAGCCCAGTTCAAGCCCCAGGACCCGGACCAACAACAAATAAAAAGAAGGGAACAAAGGTTCCTGGCCAGCCTTAGCTACACAGGGCAACTGTCTCAAAATAAACAGCAACAATGAAAACAAAGAAATCCCTTGATGTCAGACATCAAAAGCAAATTGAAACAAGTGACCTGGGCTGGGGGTATTAGCTCCACAGGAAATACAGAACTTGACTAACATCCACAAGGTCCTGGTTCCATCCTGGGCATGGAAAAAAAAAGTACTGCCATTCCCAATTCCTGTCTTCTCTTCTTGAGATAATTATCAGCTTTGAACAAGCAGCACTGAGAAAACTGTTAGTTTCCTAGTTACTGAACTGCAATATTTGCTGCTTTTCTAAAAGCAGGCCTCTGTAATTATCACACACACTGAAAGTGCTGAAATCCACTCCATGTGACTCAGGCCCTGCTGAAGTCTCTCTTCTGCCCAGGTGAGGCCTGTCTTCTCAGCTACCTGCACTCTGGCCTCAATACCCCATTTCCAGGCTCACACCTCTCTCTAGGATGAGTCA